GGTTGCCGCCTGCCCCATTGCGGCCCGCTCCTCCAGAGCTGGCATGCAGGTCGCACCATACTGCGCCTTTTTCAGTTTGCGCCGACGTCGGATGCTGAACCCGTCTTGTCCAGAAGCGCAAAGAGGAAGGCTGCAGACCGTTCGAGGGGAGGCTGTCATCTCGGCGGCTGCCCCGCAGAAGGCCAGAGAGCCAGCGAGGGCTTCGCCCTCCCGATCTTACCCCCCGCCCCTCTTCGGGGACCGCACTGCGTGAGGGGGCAGGGCGAGAGGGGTGGGTCTGCAAGACAGGAGGAGGAGGAGGAGGAGGAGGAGGAGGAGGAGGAGGAGGAGGAGGAGGGAGGGAGGAGGAGGAGGAGGAGGAGGAGGAGGGGAGGAGGAGGAGGAGGAGGAGGAGGAGGAGGAGGAGGAGGAGGAGGAGGAGGAGGAGGAGGAGAGGCATCGGAGGCCCATGAGAGGACAGGACGGCTTCTGAGGAGCCCCCGGCCCTCCTGCCGGGCCAGCCCCCCCCTCGCCCCGGCCACCGGCCACGACCGAAGGCGCCCGACCTCTCCCCGGGCCGGCCGCTGGGAGGGACGCCCCCCCCCCGCCCCCCGCAGCGCCGCCCACTGCGGAGCCCGAGCGAGGCGGAGGTGCCCCGAGTGACGCCGCCGGGCGCGACGGCACGCTCCGCTGGAGCCCGCCGCTCCTGTCCGCGGCGGGAATCTGCACATGGCCACCGCCTGGAGGGTCAGTCTTCGGAGCCTCGGCAGGCGGTGGACATGGGCATATTCGGGCCCCCGGGGGCCGAAATAGATCCATGCCTCTACGACCGCCCTGCGGGCGATAAGGAGGTTGGGGGGGATTGAGATCAAATGCCCAGCCTGACTGACCTCCAGCCTGTCACCTTGATCTCATCTCTCTCTCTCTCGGGACACCCGGGACACCGCCCGGCCCAACTGGGACACCTCCCAGCCACCAGCGGACGGGAACGGACTTTCGCTCCAACCTCGGCCTAGCCACAGGAGGATCACGCGCAGCTTCGCCTGGCCCGCACGCACGACACGAATACGAAGCGTCTCCGTTTCACCGCGATCTCACCCCCCAGCCTCCGATCCACCGCCCGCTGGGGCACCAGGACGTCGGTTCCCAGGCGGCGGACATGGACAAAAATCCACGCCTCGGATCCTGGGCCGGGGCACCCACAGCGAGCAGCCCCTGGCGCGCGAAGGCCGGGCCCCTCGAAAAGCTACACGCCGGTTGTTGAAAGTAGGTATGTTTGGATTCCCGGATTCCCACTCTATTTCAAGCGCCTTCCTGCTGCAAGCATTGGCACGCTTCTGCTGTGTTTTTTGTGACTCTCTGGGGGGTGGGGCCTGGACCCAATCAACTTAATCCGCCTTCCTCCTTCATTCGGGCCGGACGAAAGGGGGGGATTGGGAAAGGGGGGGTTACGAAATCTGCTGCATGCAGCTGGTTTCGGCCCCACCGAGGGGCCCATTCCTCGATACATAGCCGCCTCTGGCGCCAGGAGGCGCCGGGAAGATCAGCCACGCGAGCCGATTCTCAGACCCCCCCTTTGCTGTCCCCCCCTTTCGCCCGGCCCGATTCGTGTTTTTACCCACTTCTTCCGAAGGCGGAGGCGGAGGAGGCGGAGGCGGAGGAGGCGGAGGCGGAGGCGGAGGCGGAGGCGGAGGCGGAGGCGGAGGCGGAGGAGGCGGAGGAGGCGGAGGAGGCGGAGGAGGAGGAGGAGGAGGAGGAGGAGGCAGAGGAGGAGGGGGGAGGAGGAGGAGGAGGGGAGGAGGAGGAGGAGGAGGAGGAGGAGGAGGAGGAGGAGGAGGAGGAGGAGGAGGAGGAGGAGGGGCCGGCAGCGTCCCAGAGTCTCTCGGCGGGGGGGAGGCCTCTTCGGCGGGCGGCCTCCCCGCGCGCTGCGCCGTGGCGCGCCCCCCCGACGCGCACGCGGCGCCTGGCGTGGTCGAGGCTCTCGGCCGGGCAGTGGCGAGGCGTCCTGGCGTGCCCACAGGCCTGCCAGGCAGTGTTCTGAGCTCCTCCTCCTCCTCCTCCTCCTCGGCCCTCCTCCTCCTCCCTCTTCCTCCTCCTCCTCCTCCTTCCTCCCTCCTCCTCTCCCTCCTCCTCCTCCTCCTCCTCCTCCTCCTCCTTCCTCCTCCTCCTCCTCCTCCTCCTCCTCCTCCTCCTCCTCCTCCTCCTCCTCCTCCTCCTCCTCCGCCTCCGCCTCCGCCTCCGCCTCCGCCTCCGCCTCCGCCTCCGCCTCCGCCTCCTGCGGCTCCCACGGGACGTTCTCAGAGCATTTCTGGCGGAGTCTGCCCTGTCTTGCCGCATGGGGCTGATGCTCCAAGAACCTCGTCATTGTTCTTAGAGCACGTTCGGGTTCTAGGAACATCGCGTGGTAGGGTTATAGGAATGCCGGGACGGTCGGTCCCTGCTCCACTCGGTCCTCCCAGTCCTGGCGTGCAGGCTGCGTGGTGCGCGGTCGACCCGCAGAGTGAGGACGAGCAGCTGGCGACGGCTGTACCCTTGGATCCTTGCCCCCTTCGGCCCGTCCTGAGCGACTTGCGCTGGCCAGCCTCGTTCGGAGGACGTTGACGTGGCCCTCCAAGGCCCCTGCATCCTTACAGCGCACCCCTGTTGCTTGTTATGATCCAGGGAGGGGGGTCCAGCGCAGATCCAAGAAATCCGCGGGGAGCGCCGAAAGCTTAGGTTTATACAGGTGTTTCCTTCTAATCCTTACCGCGCATCCTTATTACTTGTTATACGGGTTGACTGTAAGCAGCGCTGTAGCGCACGGGCCCCGCGCACGCTTCGGCCGCAGCCGTGCACCGAGTCCCAGTGGCTGGTGGACCGTGCCGCTCGAGGATGAGGTTAAGGCGGGCACGTCCCTCTACAGTAGGATGATTCAAAAGTAGTCGAAAAATATGATGGGGATGATTTGTCTACTATGTTTGGCTATTCTGGGACACTTGTTTTCAATGTGTTGTACTTTCCTTCCAGAATCCGCCTATAGGGGGACAGGCCCGACCTAAGGTTAAGGCGAGGAGGACGTGGGCGCTGCTCGAGCCTCGATCCCCTGCGACCCTCGAGCAGCTCGGACCTCGAGCCTCGGACCTCGATCCTCCCCCGCACCTCTTCCGCCTCCGCCCCCCCCTCTCCCCACCAGACCCCTCGCGCTGTGAAAAAATCACGACAACATGTGTTTCCCTATGTTCGGTCTCCAGGGGCCCTCACCGGGCCCCGGGACCATCAAAAAACGACGCAGGGTGAAAAACCGGTCCCAGTGAAGGGGTCCAGACCTTTGGGCGTTTGCTTTTCGTGAAGAAATCACGAGGTCGGGGGTCTGGGCCTCCCCCTCCCCCCCCTCTCCTCTCCCCCGCCCATCCCTTCGCCCCCCGCTCGCACCCCCTCCCCGTCTCACTTCCTCCCCCCCTTTGTCCCTCCCTCCCCCCCCCCTCCCCGCGTCTGCTCCGAGCCGCTGTCCCCGACCATCTCCTCCCCCGTCTCCCCCCATGGGCCGGGTCGGAAGGCCCCCGGAGGGGGAGGAGGGCGAGGAGGGCGAGGAGGAGGAGGAGGAGGAGGAGGAGGAGGAGGAGGAGGAGGAGGGGGAGGGGGAGGGGGAGGGCGAGGAGGGGGAAGGGGATGGGGAGGGGGAGGAGGGAGGGGGAGGGGGAGGAGGGAGGAGGGCGAGCGAGGACATCTCCGCGCTGAGCGGCGCGCACGCCTCGCTCCCCGAGCGCGTGGGGTACCTGGAGCAGGCCCGCACGCAGAGAGAGACGCCCGCTTCGCGGCCGGTTTTGCGGTGCTCCCGCCGGCCGCTGCCAGACTGAAGTCGGGCACGTCCCTCTATCGGGGGAGCGTAAGACCCGGGTTTGCCGGGACTCGGGTTCGCCATCGTTTTTTGACGACCGCGCCTCGGATTTTGACGAGGAGGAGGTTCGTGGGATGTCTGCAGCGGGAGGCCTCGTCAAAATGCAGGCTCGGCCTCGTCATTTTTTTGACGACCTCGTCGGGGATTTCCGAGTCCCCTGTACCCAGGTCTTACGTCCCCTTGACTCTACACGAGGAAAATTCAAAAAGATTCACGGAAAAATGTATGGGGGCGATGCGTCATCAAACATAACGAAAACTGAATCAGCGTATGGTCAAAAAATGCGTGGGGGCGAGTTTTCGATTATCTTTTATCGTGTTCGGTCATGTTTTTACTATGTTTCATGTTTCGTCCAAGATCCGCCTGTAGGAGGACATGCCCGACCTGATGCCAGACCCAAGGGGCCGCCAGAGAGCGACTCGGGACGAGGATCGAGCCTGGTGGAGGCTCCAGGTCTTCGGACGTTTACGTTTGTCCTTGGCGGCTTTCGGCCTTCGGGACATCTTCCTGCGGCTGCGCCTCGCTAAGAGCGCACCAGGGCTGCCTGGATCGTCCCGAACGGCCGCCGGAAGCCCGAGCTATGACCCGAAAACCACGAGAGGACAAAGCGAGTCGAGGGGGCTCCTGGCGCGTGTGATTTCGAAAGAGCTGAGTCGTCGGAGATCAGGGAATGGGCAGGGCGAGGGAACATCACTGCACGGCTTTCCGCTTGGGAGCGTTGCCGTTACCGTCGACGATCCAATCGTGGATGCTCCTTCGGTCCTCGCCGCGGTTGCCGCGGCATCGTATGACCGCGGCACGATCGATATCAAGAGCTGTAGGATGGTCGGTGGTTCGAAGATGGGGTCCTGCGGGATGGGGTTCTAAGGACGGGGTGCCTCAAATAGCGTAGATCCACCCTGAGATCCCTTTCTGTCCTTAGGCCCCCATCCCTCCGGACCCCATGCTTGAACCACCGGTGTGAGCGGGCCCCGTCCGCTAACGAACACTCCTCAGCACCACCGTACCCTCGCCCCTGACGGTCGGCGTCCAATGGGCACGCCAGGGAGGAGTGCCGAGTGCCCCGTCTGGGCAGAGGTGAAGTCGGGCATGTCCCTCCCTCAGCAGGAGGGATATTCAAAGATAGTCAAAAAGTAGTCGGGGGACGATTTCGCGACCATTCTTGCTTATTGTTGGACATGTTTTGACTATTTCTACTTTCGCGCCTAAAATCCGCCTGTAGGAGGACATGCACGACCTCAGGCAAAGGGCATGTTCCACATGCCAGGTGACGTTGCCCACCCGTTCTTTCGAGAAGAGTCTCGTTGCACGTCGACGCTTGCGCCCTCGCGTTCGGGCGCGCGGCTTGACCGCTCCGTCAGCATCGTTGGCGCCATGCAGGGGGGGTAGCAGTGTGCGACTCGACTGGATCGATTCCGCGAGCGACTCGCGATTGCATCGGTTTGTGGGCAGCCTTGCAGCGGACGTGGCATGAGCGAGTGGCTGTGGGTAGGCAGGAGGGTCCTCAGGGAGGGCTGAGACTGAAGCGGATCGTGGCGGCCAGTGAGTTTCGATGTCCGACATCGGTTTGATCTTGCTTTTCGCGCCCAGATTGCTGGTGACTCCAAGGACAAGCACGACAAGCTCGCCGCGGACCTGGCGTCGCACAAGGCCCCACTGCAAGAGCGCCGCCCGCCGCGCGTCGAGGCGTGCCTGCTCGGCCTCTGGCCGCACGCCGCCCACCGCCCTTTTGCGGCGCGCAGCACGGGGCCGGGCGAGGGAGGTCGGTCCTCCAAGGAGGTGAGGGGGGCCTTGCTTGAAGAGATCGGCCCCCTCGAGGCCGTGCCCCCGCCGCCCACCTGGGGGGGCCGCCGGGCCGCCCTCGGCCTGGCCCTCCTCGGTGCGCGCCGCCGAGGGCCGCTGCCGCGGCGGCCGCGGCGGAGCCTCGGTGATCTCGGGGTCGGCCCATGGCGAGCGACCTTCTCGGATGCCATCGCATGTGGTGCTGCAGGACGCTGGGTGATGCGTGCGGGGGCGATGTCGTCGGCGCCGAGGCGCCTGCGTTGCGGTGCAGCCATGCTGCTCTGCACGGCTGCCCCGCGAGTGCCCTCTTCTGTGCAGCCTCGGCAAGGTGCCACGGATGGTGAGGACGTCAACCACGAAGGCGCTTGCAGTCGGCTCCACAGCCCGAGCAGTGCAGGACTCGTGCGTTCATGTTCTTGTCGCTCGCCTCATGCTGATGATTATCCTGTTGTGATTCCCCACAGGCTTCGTGGGGTTATGGCGTTCTTCTCCGCCGCGTCCCACCCGCGCGACGGTCACACACCTCCCCCATCTCCTTCTCTTTCTCACCTTCACCCGCGCGCGCAGCATGCACAAACGAACATGCTGTGTGACGCAGCACGACGCCCGCATGAGACACACGTACACAACCGTACACACAAGATACACATATGCAAGAAACACAGACGCGGACCGCATACATACACACAGCACACATGCAGCACGCAGACACACAGCGTGGCATGTTCTTCACACCACAGGCGGTGCGCAGGGGGTGCGGTCGCAATCTGTTTTGGGCTCGCAAAGCGTGGCAGGCGTGGTACTTTCTCGACGTTGCATGGGGTGCCTTGGGGGTGCGGTCGCTGTCTGTTTCGGGCTCGCACAGCGTGGCAGGCGTGGCACTTTCTCGAATCTACAGAGGGTGCTTCGAGGGTGCGGTCGCTATCCGTTTAGGGCTCGCAAAGTGTGGCAGGCGTGTCTTTTCCTCGACCAGGCGTGCGCTGGGGGCGCGGCCACTGTCCGCTTCAGGCTCGCCCTGTGTGGTCGTCGTGGCATTCCTCGAATCCACGGGAGTGCGCTGGGGGTGCGGTCGCTGTCCGTTTCGGGTTCGACAAGCATGGCAGGCGTGGCATTTTCTCAACGCCACAGGGGGGGGTTCGCGGGCTCGATCGCTATCCGCTTCTTGTTCGCAAAGTGTTGCAGGCGTGGCATTGTCTCGACGGCACAGGGGGTGCTTTGGGGGTGCGGTCGTTGTCCTTTTCGGGCCCGCGAAGCGTGGCAGGCGTGGCGCTTCCCTGATGCCAGAAGACTGCGCATGGGTTGGGTGTTGCAATATTTGAAGTGAATATGTGGGATTCCTCGGTAGCGTAATTCCTCGTCATCTCACTCACCACCACCATCACCACTACGGTCGGACCGAGGCATAAGATCGAAGTCGATCCGGTGAGGATGCCATCATGTTATTCGTGTTTGTTGGGTGTTCTTCATGCGTTCTGGGGGAGGGCGCAGAGCCGCTGGATCTCAGAGATTCTCGATTTCTCCTCGCCCGATGTTATCCTTGTCCTGGCCTCGTCTCAGCCCTGTGTCCGGCGCAGATGTCGCGCGCCTTCTCCCGGCCGGCCCGGCGCCCCGCGCGCCTCGCCACCTCGGCGGCCGCGCTTGCCGAGTGGGCGTGGCCACGGCCCGCGGCTGCGGCCCCCGCGCACCGCTCGGGCGGCCGCAGAGCCTCGCCCTCGCCTGCCTCTGCTGCTGCTGCTGCTGCTGCTGCTGCTGCTGCTGCTGCTGCTGCCGCTGCTGCTGCTGCTGCTGCTGCTGCTGCTGCTGCTGCTGCTGTCGGGCGCGGGGCCCCCTCTGGCGCCGCTTCTGGCGCTCCGCGGGCCGGGGGGGGGGGGCCAGCCCAGAGCCAAGAAGTCAGCGCGGGCCTCCAAGAGTTTGGGTATGTGTATCGCTGGCTCGTTTGATATCTGACACCGACCAAACCGCCTGGTCAGTGTGGGAGGTCGCCGCGGCGATCGCGGCAGCCTCAGATCGGGTCAAGGTTTTTCCCAACCATCCTGTGGTGTTGGGTCCTCGTTTTGAAGAGACGGTGCCCCGCGTTCCCCACCTCCTCCTCCCCCCCCCTCCCTCCTCCCATCATCATCATCATCATCATCATCATCATCATCATCATCATCATCATCATCATCATCATCATCATCATCATCATCATCATCATCAATCATCACACCGATTTCGGCACACCCCTCACACGTTTCGTGGCCCCATAGGGAGCTCCACCGAAGGCCCCAGTGGCAGGGTCCGCATGCCTCCCCACCACCCATTTCGGCACACCCCTCACACGTTTCGTGGCCCCATAGGGAGCTCCACCGAAGGCCCCAGTGGCAGGGTCCGCATGCCTCCCCACCACCCATTTCGGCACACCCCTCACACGTTTCGTGGCCCCATAGGGAGCTCCACCGAAGGCCCCAGTGGCAGGGTCCGCATGCCTCCCCACCACCCATTTCGGCACACCCCTCACACGTTTCGTGGCCCCATAGGGAGCTCCACCGAAGGCCCCAGTGGCAGGGTTCGCATGCCTCCCCACCACCCATTTCGGCACACCCCTCACACGTTTCGTGGCCCCATAGGGAGCTCCACCGAAGGCCCCAGTGGCAGGGTTCGCATGCCTCCCCACCACCCATTTCGGCACACCCCTCACACGTTTCGTTCCACCGAAGGCCCCAGTGGCAGGTCCGATGCTCCACCGAAGGCCCCAGGCAGGGTCCGCATGCCTCCCCACCACCCATTTCGGCACACCCCTCACGTTTCGTGGCCCCATAGGGAGCTCCACCGAAGGCCCCAGTGGCTGCGTTCGCATGCCGCCCCCACACCAACTTCGGTGCACCCCTCACACGTTTCGTGGCCCCATAAGGAGCTCCACCAAAGGCCCCAGTGGCAACGTTCGCATGCCGCCCCCACACCCATTTCGGCACATCCCTCACATGTTTCGTGGCCCCATGGGGATTTCCATTGAAGGCCCCAGCGACTGGGTTCGCATGCGCCCCCACACCCATTTCGGCACACCCCTCACACGTTTCGTGGCACCATAGGGAGCTCCACCGAAGGCCCCAGTGGCTGCGTTCGCATGCCGCCCCCGCACCAATTTCGGCACACCCCTCACACGTTTCGTGGCCCCACAGGGAGCTCCACCGAAGGCCCCAGTGGCTGCGTTCGCATGCCGCCCCCACGCCAACTTCGGTGCACCCCTCACACGTTTCGTGGCCCCATAAGGAGCTCCACCGAAGGCCCCAGTGGCAACGTTCGCATGCCGCCCCCACACCCATTTCGGCACACCCCTCAAACGTTTCGTGGCCCCATAGGGAGATCCACCGAAGACGGTACTCACACCAGCATTACTCACAACTGCATATGGTTGGGTCCTTCGCCAGGCTAATTATCGAGGAGCGGCATGCCCCTTCCCAGCCCCACCCATCGCTCTGCGATGTAGACGTGGCTCATAGTGTACCATTTAGCGAGAAAGAGAGAGAGAGAGAGAGAGAGAGAGGAAAAAAAGAGAGAGAGAGAGAGAGAGTCCTGAGGGCCCCAACACGAGCCCTGAGGGCCCCAAGAGGCCACAAAAGGCCCCCAAGACGGTACAAGAGGGCCCCGGGTCGCCGAACGATCGCCCCAAGACGCCACAGATGGCCCCAAGACGGCCCCAAAGCCTCCAGAACACCCCACGAGGCCTCCCAAGCGAGACAGCTTATGTGTCACATGGGCAGTCCTGGTTTTCATGAGGGGTCAACGATCACGCCACCAGGCCAGGCTGCCTGGTCGGCTCGGGCAATGGCTTGCCTCGGGGCCGCGGCCCCGGGGCTTTGGGCCAAGGGCCCGCGGCCCGCCCTCCGTCCGCTCGCGGCGGGGCAGGGCGGGGCTGGGGCCCCCGGGTGGGCCTCGGATTCGGGTGGGCTCGATCGACCACCACGACCATCATCGTCATCATTGCTATCATCATAGTCATTGTCCTCAGCAGCAGCAGCAGCACCCTCATCACCATCACCATCACTGGCATCATCATCCGCATCATCATCACCATCCTTACAATCCTTATCAGCATCATGATCATCATTATCATCATCATCATCATCATCATCATCAGCATCATCATCATCATCATCAGCATCCTCGTCATCATCAACATCAACATCAACATCAACATCATCAGCAGCAGCATCATCATCATCATCAGCATCATCATCACCGCCATCACCATCATCATCAGCATCCTCGTCATCATCATCGAGCCCTGGCCCGAGGTTCCGAGGCATGAGGGCCCTTTCGCACGCTCTCACAGTTCTCAACCTCCTCTCGGCATTGCGATGCGCGGCCATTCAAATGAAACTGTGCGGTGGGACCCCAAGTCTCTTTAAGATTATGACAGACGCCTGGAGTCTGCACATCAGGCCAAGTTCGTTGACGTCGTCTTGCTGTCGGGAGCTACGGCCAAGAAAGGATCATCTGACACATCATGAGCTGTTCTACCACGAGCATTTTCCAATGAAGATGTTTGGTTGGCGAAGCCTGTCAAACAAGAGCTGCGGAGTAGGATCTGCCTCCACAGGCAACGGTTCCGTTGATCACATAGTACGCATGTCTGGCCAGTGCGTTACACGGGAGAGTGGGAGCAGTGCGAGTAAAATCATGTCAGTTTGATTTCAAGTTGATCGGGAGGTATTTCCCGCCGAGATAGGTTGAGACACGTGGCATCCCGAAGTACGAAGCCACCCACGGTGAGGCGCTTGACCAAAAGACTCAAGGGCCTCACCGACGGCACACCCAATCGCAGTACCATCCTGGCTTCGACGGGTCTGAACGACGGCGAGGGCATCCATGGCCTGGTCCAGGAGGTCGACACCGTGAGCCTCGGGACGTTTGCCCGTAGTGTCGAACATGTGTCTAGTACGACGTATCGAGACTGGCTGGAAGATGGCGCATTGACAGTGGTCACAAGTTGGTATCCCTGCGGGCCGACATACTACGGGCACCAAAGCTCGAGTTACATTCATCACGTGGCGATTTCGGCACCGTGGTTGGTTCGAGTACACCGCTGTACGATTGCAGCCATCCTGGAACATACGGGCAGGGGTTGACGATCAGCTAGCTCACCTGCAATGCCCTAACGCCGGCAGGCCTGCAGTGGAACTTCTTCACGCTCCGCAAGGCCATGAAGAACGAGTAGAAGACCGAACAGTTCAGGAACAGCGTAGAGGAGGCGTCGCAGGCGGAATTTCAACGTGACGGCTATTTAGAGTCAGCGGCATGGGTGCGTAAACACGCACACACATTGGAAGCATCGTGGTCTGACATGGTGGACGATACAGGGTTTTGCGAAGACAAGGTATACAACGAAACGCAAGGATCGCCCAGTCGCCCAGAGTGGTACGTCAGAACGGCTCACGAGCGTGAGGCGGCACTTCGGGCGAGAACAATTGGACGATATTGAGTCGACGGTGAACTTGATAGGTCGCGGTACTTACGACAGCGCACGCGACGATGTAAGCAGGCTCGCTTTAGATCACGAATGGAACACGAATTTGATCGGGTGGACCAGCTGGAAACCGCACTTCACACAGGGAAGACGTGGCCTGGCGATTACGATTGGATATGACAGGCAATTGACTGGTTCATCCTGACGCCCAACCTGATGTTCAAACATGGACGGAGGAGCTGGCCCTGCCCAGAGGCGAAGGTGGACTCGTGGCTACACAAGCGGAGCAGAGCCATGAAATCGAGCAGGCGCACGCGCAGGATTTCCTCCTCTATCCACAGATAGAGCACTATGAGGAGGCGAACCGGGACGTCGACAAACTCATCGAGAAGTTCACACGAAGACACAGGCGGCGAGCCTCACCAGCATGGTCGGCGCCGACGAAGGCGCGGCGCCTGTTGCTCCCCCGCCGAACAGACGCGACAAGGAATCCAGCGCGCACCAGCGGAGGGCCCCACACTTCAAGAGTTCTTGTTGGCACAATCAGCGTGGGCACGGCAGCGTCAGCGACTGGATGCACGGTGGAACCTCCGTCGGACCTAGCAGGCGGGCAAGATGAACCACAAGCCACGCACGCGCGGCACGCGACCTTTCCATGGATTCTGCAGCTTCGGCAAGGCGCGGGTCGGCACTCGACGGCTTCGCGATGATCTGCCTTTCCCGAACGAAGATCATAGCAACGTGAAGGGTCCATCGCGGGCAGGCGCACCAGCGCCGGCAATGTCCTGCAATGAAGACAGCGGGGGGCCAACCTGAGCCACGCAACAACCGAGCACGACATGACAAACGCGTTCGCCAGCGTCAGCCACGAGCATCTGGACACCACGGTGCACCACATGCACCGCCCCGAGGACACGCACATCATGTTGACCTGGCACCGCCAGACGGCCTGCGTCGTCCACGCGCAGGACGGCGACGGCACCCCCATAACCACTCGCACTGCATGATGGTCGATTCCGACACCGTCATGGAGTTCAAGGTCGCGTTCGAACGACCCACCGCGCGCTTTCCCGCACCTCCGGAGTGCGCGAGGCAACAGCGGGGTGCCCCATCACACGGAGGACCGGCGACTTCGCCCTCCGCAGGTACGCGGACGACTTGATTTGCACCCGCGTCGTCCCCGACGCGCGCAGCGCAGCGGTGGCTGGCGAGATCCCGAGCCGACATCTCCACGAGGCTTCCGATCGATGGGGGGCCGACACAGAGTCGCGGAAACAGTTGTCAGCCCGTGCTTCGCGGGTCGAGGCCCCGATATGTCCACGAGAGCTCAACGCGACCATTGTTCAGATTTCAGGCGCAGCCCAGACCGCGTCATCCCCCGTGGGATCTCGCGCGCAGACGTCGGGAAGGAACGACGAGGAGATGTGCGCCAGGAGCTCTGCCGCGAGAATTGGGCGGCGCGGCATGGGAAAGTTCTGGAGGCCCGCCCGTTCTTCGGACGCGAGAGGCTGATCTTCCAGGGCAGAGTCATTGGCGCACCGGCTTCGGGGCCGGAAGCGACAGCACCCACGCGCGACCAGAGAAGGAAGCTCAACCCCGTCGCGGCGCGCCACGCGAGTGCGTCGCGCTAGGGGATCGCGACGCATCGCCTGCTGAACGAGGGGGGGGAGCGGTGGAAAGTCACGACCATCTGAGCGGAAGCCGCCCGGAAGAAAGCTTGGGTCGCGCCTCCGAGCGTCGCGCTGGTCATTCGACGGCCACGCCGCTGACGAGCTCTCGCGCGCTGGCCCCACCGCCGCGTTCCAGAGCTCGCTGCTGTCTCTGGGAAGGATACAATTAAGAACGCGGCACCTCGGCAGTTTTCACGGGCCCTTGCCTGTCCCTCGGAGGCCGCCCCCATGGGCCGCGCCAACCCATGGGCCCTGCATTTCAAGAACGATCTGCTCTATCCAGGAGGGCATGATGGGGGGGGGGGCGATTTCCTGGGCGACGTAGGTCGCGACTTCCCGAGGGTCTTCAAGGTCCCCAAGTTGCGCGCAACGCCCCTAAAGTTCAAGACGAAACGATTCCGAAGATTTGGCTCGCGGCCCCGACGGTGACCCCCATCCGGCAGCACGAGGACCAGGAGTGTTTCACGGGTGGAAATCTGCCCACCTTGCTCCACGGTGATGTCCTGGAGCGCGGCGAGAGGTTTCGCACCGCACATGCACTGCGCGCACATCAGGCGCGCAGCGGCAGGGAGGACCACGGCCAATTCAACATGTTCAAATCTCACGGTGACAAATCAGCGCCCATCACGCGCACGCGCGCTCGCATGCCGTCGCGCAGCCGTCAACCACACCACCGCAGCATCTAGACGTGGAGGGCGCACCGCCAATAAGTCAACCCTCAACTACCCCGTCGTTCTCCCGGAGCAGTTTGCCCGCCCACATTCCGAGTGCGCAGAGGTTTGTTCTGGCCCCCCGTCTCTCCAGCAGCGCCCGGCAGGGGCCCGCTCGCTACAAACTCAGCCGCGCGTCGCGGCCGCAGGCGCCCCTGGCGGCGGCGCGGGCAGACGACGAACCAGCGCGCGGGAAGCCCGCGCGCGGGGCCCGAGGGGGGCAGCACCAGCGGCCAGCTTAGCAAAAGACGCCCCGGAGAAGATGGGCCCCGAGATAGCGAGCACGACCGAGCTCGACGGCGGTCTGATCGAGGTCATAACCACGCAGAAGTACTTCCCAGTCACGACGAAGCCCATGCTCAGCATAGCGCTGAGGCAGGCTCGAGTCGATAGAGTTACAGACGCGCCCGACGTCGCGGGCACGCAGCCAGCGGCGAAGGCGAAGGCTCGCACCAAGGCACGGGCCCGCGCCGCCGAGGCGCACCAGGCGCTTCTACCCGAGGCCGAGGAAGAGCATAATATGCGGCGTGCTACGCGGGCGCGTTCGAAGGGCTGATCGCGGAGGCCAGTTCGGTGGGCCGCGTTGACCAGCATCAGCTCGAGGAGCGGGACAAGCAGCATAACGCCCTCGCGGCGTACGAGGTGGGAGAGGTGGCGCCGCTGGCGATGATCTCGGATTGTCACGAGGAGGGCAAGGTGAAGCTCGCAGCATGGCGCAACATGGCGAGTGCGATGGCGTCGCTGATCCAGGTCGGGGCAGACTACAAGCAAGGGGCGGCCCGATAAGCCACATGGAGCGTCTGATTCACACTGGGTTTCACGATCTCGAGAGTTGGATGCAAGATTGAATGAGCCGCCAGATGTGAGAAGGAGCAAGCGGCCAGCATGCCGATCCTTGAAACCCGTACTGATCCCCCTCTCGAGCCTCCTCTCACCTCGTCTCTCCCCCAAAGCAGTGTTAGACAAACTGTCCAGGTGCTTTCCTCCCCTTCTGGGCTTCCTCCGTCTTTCAACCTCCTCCGACGCATATGCAATCTGAGTTGTTGCTCCAGTCTGCTTCTAGGGGCCAGGTGGTGGGTGGACCGCCCCACGTCCGCCGCACTGCGAGCGCAAGCCCAGCGGATAGCAAACGCGTGGAGACTTCTGATGTTCCGGGGCGTTCCACTCGGCCTCGTGGCCCCACGGAGCCCAACCAGTAGTGACGAAGGGAGGACATTGGAAGGCGGAGGGAAGAGCCCCGCCGTCCTCCCAGGGGATTCCTGCACGGTGGAGCGGTTCCGACATGGGTGCCGCGTTGTGTCTTCTGGGTGCACCGCAACAGCTGCAGGGCTGTGTTTTGCGGTGGGTCGCGACGGCGTCTGGCCACGCATCGCAAATTTGCGTCCGGGCGCAGCCCGGTGTTAGGGACGCTCGCTGGATGGGAGTTACGGTTGCCCCCGATAGGTTTTGATCTGACCATCATCACCACCATCATCATCACCATCGTCATCAGCATCATCAGCACACCGCCCACCAGCCCGCGCAGATAGGCGGAGGCCGAACCGTGGGAGTGGTTGGCGTTGCTACCGACGCCCAGGATCGAACCCCGATCGTCCCTGCAAGGCAACGGTGCCCTTTGCGGCGAGCAATGCCAGTAGAGCGGGTTGCTCTGCACGGACGGCGACGGCGCTTGTCGCGCGGGCGCCCCATCCGAGACGGCTCGCCGCTTGCTTTCACCGCGCGTATCGCGGGGGTGGAACCGTGGGCGCAGTCGGGTCGCTACCAACGCTCAGGATCGCCTCCGACCGGCAAGGCAAAGCTACTGTGTCCATGGTCAGCCAGTTGAGCCAAGGGATTGCGTTGCTCTGCCATGGCATGGTCGGCCATGTTTCATGGCAGCCTCTTCGCGAGGCCAGTCGCGGGAGCGCTAGCTTGTACACTTTGTTCGGTCTTCGTCCAGCCGCCGGCCTCGTCCGAAGTGTTGGGCGCCCTCTCAGGCTCTCAGGTGGATCGCCCGAGAGTGTGCCACAGGGCACGGGTCGGGGCCTTGCGACCGCAGCGCCAGAGAGAGCGACCTAAGGGGTGCATCGAGCGGGAAGCTCCAGACCTCCCTAGACGCGTGAATCCTCATCATCCTCACCACCATCACCATCACTAAGATGACCGGGCATCATCATCACCGTTATCATCATCGTCATCATCATCATCAACAGCATCATCAGCATTACCGCTATATCGCCACCAGCATAATAATCATAACCATCATCATCCTCATCATCATCATCGTCAATATTCTTGATACTCGCATTCATCCTCCTCATCATCCTCCCTTCACTCCTCTTCTTCCTTCCTCCTCATCATACACCTGCTCCTTTTCCCATCACTCCTCAATATCATCCACCCTGTCCTTCTAATGTTATCCTTCGCCTCCTCCATCGGACACATCGTCTCCTTCGCCTCCTCCATCAAAAGCGTTACTGTAGGCACGCGCATAGTTCTTAATTCACACGCTTCCATTCGCACAAGTTGATAGAGGTCTTGGGAAACAGAACCTGCGCAGCTTGCCCGCGCGGCGCTCTGATCTCACACTGACTGGACCAGGTGAGACCTTGATGCTCGTCGCCGTGGCGCGCGTATTGGCCACGCAATCTGAGTCAACGATCCGATATCTTTCACGCGCCTCGCTTGCTGCCCGCCATGCAGGGCAGCGGACCGTGTGCCCGGCAGGAAGTGGAGGAGCAGCGGACGACCGGCACCAGGCACGGGGCTTCGCCGCTCGCGGGGGCGGCGGCGGGGAGAGCCGCGCGCTCCCTGCGAGGGGGCGATCGACAAGCACAGGAACGAAGTGAAGGATCACCACGGCACCGTCGAGCAGCGCCTCGCCTACCTCGAGAAGGAGCGACGAGCAAAGGGGGTCGTAGGGTTAAGGCGGGCGTGTCCCTCTACACGAGGAGTATTCAAAAATACGTAGTCAAAAATAGTCTGGGGACGAGTGGTTGACCATTTCTTCAATGCTCTCACGCATGAAAAAGTGTTTTTTTTACTTTTCGTCCACACTCCGCCTGCAGGGGGACATGCCCGACCTAATCGCAGGGGCACGCCGAGGGGTCTGGCCGCGCCGGCCGCATCGAGGCGCGCCTCGGCGGCCCGCCCGCGGAGGGAGGGAGCGGCAGGCCACGGCGGGCCCGAGTGGGCGGGCCCCGGCGGGTGGGGCCTGGTGGGCGGGTCGTGGCGGGTGCGTCTGGGCCCCGGGGAGGGTGCAGGTCCTGGCCCTGGCGGGTGACGTGGCATCGCGCGGAGGTGTGCGCTTTTTGCCTGGGCAAGGCCCTCGCGAGGAGCATGCTGGATCTCACCTCGCGAAGGAATGCTCGCAGGAGGCCGAGGAGTGCCCGGGGAGCGAACGTCCGAGCCACGGCGAGGTCGGGCTCCGGTGGGCCCCCGTGTGGCCCGGCGGGGTCCCCGGTGGGGGTCCCCGGTGGGCCCTGGTGGGGACGTCCTGGTGCGATTCGGTGGGACTCCAGGGGCATCCTCCTCCTCCTCCTCCCCCTCCTCCTCCTCCTCCTCCTCCTCCTCCTCCTCCTCCTCCTCCTCCTCCTCCTCCTCCTCCTCCCTGCCAAGAAATCCAGGGGGTCTCGGTGGGTCCCAGGGGGTCCCGGTGGGTCCCAGGGGGTCCCGCCGCGTTGGTGCGCTGGTGCGTCGTGATGGGCCCCCTCGGGCGCAGGGGGGGGGGCGGGGCGCGGCTGCCGGCTCCGGGTGTCGAGGCCGCCCTGGACCGCGGTCAAGGCGCGGGGAAGCCACAGTGGAGGCCCATGCCAAGAGACACCCTGCCATTCGATACCTCCTCCTCCTCCTCCTCCTCCTCCTCCCCTCCTCCTCCTCCTCCTCCCTCCTCCTCCCCTCCTCCTCCCTCCTCCTCCTCCTCCTCCCTCCTCTCCTCCTCCTCCTCCCTGCCAAGAAATCCAGGGTGCCCTGGATTTCTTGGGTTTCGATGGTCTGGCCATGGACCGCGTGACCTTCCTGCTCCACAGATCGATGGACGTCCTGGGGTCTCAGTGTTCAGATTCTTGTGGAAGGTTTCGCATGAACCAGCCTCCACTGTACAATCAAGGCGCGGAAAGAAGAACCACTCTGGGCTCAGGAGGGGCTCTGGTGTCTGGGCCGTTTCTTAGATTTTGTCGGGGAGCCTATTCGTGACCGAGGCTCTCTCTGGCCAGAAAAGCCCCCACGTTCCTCATTTGGCGTTCCTGATGGCAGCGCTCCTCCTCCTCCTCCTCCTCCTCCTCCTCCTCCTCCTCCTCCTCCTCCTCCTCCCCCTCCCCCTCCTCCTGTGGAGACCAGCCAGGACTACCTCTGGTTGGTGTTTGTTCGCGGCCTCGGGCTTTGCCGCAGGAGGCTCGGCTCCCAGAGCCGAGCCTCCGATTCAGAACCGCGTTGACTGTCCCACCCAAGAATTCGTGTTCGAGGGCGGAGTGCTTTCACAGGGGCACCCTTGCATCCTGGACCCATCGGCCCATCCCTAGGCCATCCTGTCTGCCAGCTCCTGTTGGCAGCGTCGCTGCAACTGTCTCAAAATTTTGCTACTCCATCGACCTGGGCCGAAAACGCATGCAGACGTGTACAGCCAACCCACATGGTGAGGATGGGCGGCCTTCCCAAGGGTAACCTTGCATCCTTGCCTCCTCGGCCCATCCTTGGCCACTTTCGTTGGCCGCGCCCCGCTCGAGAAGCTTCGAAATGGGCTTCCAAGGCCCTTGCATTCTTACCCCGCATCCTTACTATACTGGTTGACTGCACCGAAGAGGAGGAGGAGGAGAGGAGGAGGAGGAGGAGGAGGAGGAGGAGGAAGAAGAAGAGGGGGACGGGGAGCCAGCGGAGGCTCGGCCTCGGGCGGTGCCGCCTCGGCGAGCGAGGGGCCTCCGTGCGCCGTCGTCTCGTGGGCCCCCCACGGCCTCCCCGAGCCACCCCGCGGCCGGGGGGGCGGGCACAAGGGCTTCGCCACGGCACTGTCCGCCACCCAGGGGGGGCGACGGGGCGAGGAGCGCGGTAAGAGGAGGAGGAGGAGGCGGAGGAGGAGGAGGAGGAGGAGGAGGAGGAGGAAGAGGAGGACGAGGAGGACGAGGAGGACGAGGAGGACGAGGAGGACGAGGAGGAGAGGAGGGGAGGAGGAGAAAGAGGCCGAGGAGGACGAGGAGGACGAGGAGGAGAGGAGGAGGGGGAGGAGGAGGAGGACGAGGAGGACGAGGATGACGAGGACGAGGAGGAGGAGGAGAAAGAGGAGGAGGAGGGGGGCGGGGCTGGGGGAGGAGGTCCGGGGGGGGGGGGGGGGGGGCAATGCTCTAACAGAGGAGAGCCATGCCAAGAAACACCCCGCTTTCCTCCGGGGTGCCCTGGGTTTCTTGAGCTTCGATGGTTTTTCGACGACACCCAAAATCAATGGACGTCCTGGGGTCTCAGGGCTGGGTTTCTTGTGGAAGGTTTCTTGTGGTCGAGCTCCCACTGTAGGCCTCCTGGATGGGGTCGGAGTAGATGGGGTCAGAGGATCGTGCCGCATCTCCGATACATCGGCGATGCGGCGCGGTCCTCCAACCCTATCTGGTCGGACCCCATCGTGGAGGCCTCTAGATGATTGGCCCACCGTGAATTTGTTCGCTTTGTCTGTCTATTGTCGCAGGAAGTTGCCGTGACACGAATTAGCGGCTTGGAGCAGAACAATGGGAGCGAATCGCATTTGGTCAAGAGCGTGGGCCCGTCAACTCTCAGTGATCGGGTAAACCAACGCACTAGCATTGGGTCCGCAGCGCTGCGCAGTGGCGGGTGCTTCCAAGCCGTACCCTTTGCCTGTGTTTTCTGCAGGGCTTCAAGTGTTGTTGACTTCGTTCCCAGGAGCTTGGGGACTCGTTCGACAAGCATGCCAAGCAGGTGGACGAGTTGAAAAAGTCACACGACAAGCACGCCAAGCAAGTGTCCGACATGAAGGAGCGTGGGGCCTGCTTACATGCTCCTTTAGGCATATCGTCAGACGACTGGTAGGCATGTATATCTTATATTGGGGCTATGATCACAGTAAAGAGGCCATCATCTGTCAGCATGTAACCCCCATGACCCGAGCATATGACTTGATCATGCGCGAGCTCTCTCTCTCTCTCTCTCACCCATAAGTTTCCTGCAGTTCGGGCGCTGAGGGCATGTAATGAGCAACGAGGTGTACATGATCCTCATTACCATGTTCCTCGACAGGTAGAATTGTGACGATGCCCTCGCTTGCAGCCTGTCTCCGCCACGTCTGTGTAGCAGCATCGCTCGTGCGCACCAGCCTGCATAGCTGACTAGACAGGATCAGACTGCACCGATCAAACGAGTAAAGAGAACATGTGTACCGTTACGATCGTTGTTACGGCCGGACCAACGTATAACATCGAGGTCGGTTCGGGGAGGGTACCCCAATGTTCTTCGTGTTTGTTGGAATTTCTTGCGCATCCTGGGAGAGGATGTCCTCGAGTTCTCTTCAGTTTAGCCAGCGGAGGGTCTCGTGTGTTTGAAGGATGTTATGATGTCTTACAAGCCTCGTGAAACATAAATTGAAGAGGGCACTTGTAAGAAAATGCGTTCTTCAATGTTGCGAGGGACTGCCGAATTTCGGACACCTCTGCGTGTGGGCCAGAGACCTCATGCCAGCATTGAAGTAGCGCCGGGCGCGCAAGCGCCGAAAACCAAAACCGTCAAGTTATGTGTGACGGGTCTCGCAGGTCCAGCTGTACACACACACACATACACACACACACACACACAAAAAAAAAACACCCACACACACACACACACACACACCGCTGCACCTGAGCCCAACGTTCCTCCTGCGTTTGCTCCTCCTTCTCCTCCTCCTCACCCTGCTGCCGACATTTCCCCTCCCTCCACTCCCGCCTCCCGCCTCCCCTTTCGTGCGGGCATATTAAGCAGGTCTATGGCATTGCCATCCTTCCCTGTGGGCTTCCGCCGTCTTCCTTTGCCCTCGCCTGTTGACCTCGATCCGTTCCTGGATTCCCCGCCTGTTCCCTCGCCGCGACATCCGCAGAACAGCTCCCCGTAGGCCTCGGCGGATAAGGCAGTCACATGGTCTTGAATCCAGCGATCTGGCACTGCACAATGTTCCAGATGGGAGGTGGCAAGAGTAGAGCGCCCAGAAAGGAGTGAATCGGATGGCGCCTCTCAGCAGGGCGCTGCGCGCAGGTCCCCCTTGTCACCCCTAATCGGTTGACGGGCGCGACAAGGTCCCAAAGGATGGGTTTGGGGCCCTCCTCTCCGCCCTGACCTGGTGACCCACTCGTCTGGAGACCGTTTGGGCTCCAGCCACTCTCGTCACACCGCGTGACATGTCCCTCCCACTCAAGCCCCGGGAGAGAGAGAGAGAGAGAGGCACGTGTGTGTGTGTGTCTGCGTGCGGGTGGGTCGTTTTTCGGTAGGGTGGGGTTGGAGGGGAATTGCCTTGGGTTGCCCCTCGCCTCTCCTCTGCCGTCCACTGCGCGGGGGGGCGAAGGGGGGGATGGCGAGGTGAGCTGCCTGGCTGAGTGCTCCACCAACCCACGCCTGCCGAGAGCGGCTTTCCCAAGGTAGGTGTCTTGTTTCTTCCAATGCGATGATACCCTGGCAAAATTGCACCTGCCCTTCCACTCAGATGCTGTCAGAACTCATGCCCTTTGGCTCCGATCGGAAGCACACATCCAGACTTCGATTGGCCCGAAGAGGTACGCGAATGGGTCGCACGACTGGGCCAATATGCACTGGGCAACGCCGAGCCCATCTTCCACCACCCGGCCGTTCTCTCCCTGACCCCCCCTTGTCAGGGTCCGCCCGCCCGACCCGACCCACCCGCCCGATTCGCTGGCCACCTCGATGAGGTACCATGCCTGAAGGTCCCGCCCGCCGGACCCGACCCGCCCGTAGGGTCCTGCCCGTTAGGGCCCGCCCGCCCGACCCGCCCGCCCGATTCGCTGGCCACTTCGGTGCGGCATCGTGCTTTGATGTCTGGCCCCTCCCGGACCGACCCGCCCGCTACCTTCGATCAGACGCAAGAGTGACCTCTCGCCGCAGTGGCCTCCAGTGCGGGCCCACCCGGGCCCCCCGATCGCTGAGCGCGACGCGGCGACAGCGGCCTGCGCGCCTGGGTGTGGCCCACCCCGCGCCCCCCGTGAGGGTCCGCCCACCACCGGCCGCTCGTGCCTGCGGTCACTCGGCGGCGAAGAGAGCGGGCTCGCACGAGGGTCAGGAGGGGACAACACACACAGACACAATTGATCCTCGATTCCCCAGAAATATATGAAAATATGGGGAATCTTTTTTTTGTGTGTATTTATTTATTTAATCGCTTCGCTCATGCCGCCGGCCCTGGAGCCCTCTTTAGGGCCTCTTGGGGGCCTCTTGGGGACCTCTTGGGAGTCTCTTGGGGCTCCTTGGCGGCGTTTTGGAGGCCCCCAGGGCCTCTTGGGGGGCTCTTGGGGGTAGTCGATTGCGGCCCCCCCCTCGGAGGCCACGATCCTAAGAAAATATCGGCAATCTTTTTACTTGTGTGTATTTATTTGTGTGTCCTGGGGCCCCTCCAGAGGGGGGGGGGGGGCGACGGACGGCCTCTCGGAGAGGGGCCGCCGCCCCTCGAAGGCCCTGCGCCCCGCGCCCTCCCCTGCGCCTCGCCTCCTGCTGCGCGCCGCCGGGCCTTGAGATTCTTGCGCTCCCCCCCGGCGCCCCGGCCCCCCCCCCGGGAGGGGAGGCCTCGGCCTCGCTCGGGCGTGTGCGCCTTCTGTTAAGTCGGGCCTGCCCCCCTACGGGTGGATTGTCGACGAAGACTAAAAAAATACCCCCAAAGCACCCCAAGAATATTCCAAAAATAGTCTGGGGACTATTTTTAGTGTATTTTTGTTTTATCTTTTTGGCGTATTTTTTGGTATTTTTTATTTTTCGTCGAAAATCCCCATGTAAGGGGACACGCCCGACATAAACCCTGTGCTCGGCGAGCACCCTCGAGGGGCATCCTGGAGCGGGCTGCGAAGGGCGCAGCCGCGCGCACGCCGCAGACGAAGTGCGCGGGGAACGGGCGCCCGAGCGAGGGCGAGGAGGCGGGGGAGCCGCAGGAGGGGGGAGGCAGGGGGGCAGGGGGCGAGGCAGGCGCCGGGGGAAGCCGCTGCGCTGGTGGTCGAGAGCCCGCACGGGCCGAGCCGACAACGGGCCAGTCGGCCTGGCCCCCGCGGCGCGAGAGGCGCCGCGGCTGCGGCCGCGGCGGCGGCCGCGGCGGCGGACCTGAAGTCGGGCACGTCCCGCTACAGGAGGAAGATGCAGGAATGGTGCAAAAGGAGTCTGGGGACGGTTTTTCAGGCTCTTCTGATGATTTCTGCATGAGCCTGGGCGGGTTCCAGTTCTTCCGAAATCCGCCAGCAGCAGCTCCTCCTCCTCCTCCTCCTCCTCCTCCTCCTCCTCCTCCTCCTCCTCCTCCTCCTCCTCCTCCTCCTCCTCCTCCTCCTCCTCCTCCTCCTCCTCCTCGATTACATGCCCGACCGAAGGCTCGCCTCGCGCGTCCCAGCACCGCCGCTGGAGCCCCCAGCGGCCCCGACCCCCCGCCCACTCCTAATGGGTGCACCTTCTGGCCAGGACTCCGGGGCGAGGCCGCCCGCGGCGACGGTCAAGCAGTGGCGAAGCGTCCTGGCTCGCTTATAGGCGCACCAGAGAATGTTCTGAGAACCTTCTGTGGTCTTCACGACATGTCCTATTAGAACATGTCTCGCTGAGACTGTCTTGTTTTGACACATCGATCGCATGCTCTAAGAGCATAGTTTTAGTTCTTAGGCCGTTTGGGGGTTCTAAGGGCACTTCGTGGTAGGCCTATAGGAATGCCCAGAACGGTCGGTCCCTGCTCAAAACGGGAGCCCCCCCCTAAAGAGGCACGAGGAGCTCCTCGTGCCTGCACCCCTCCTGGCCCCTCCTCTCGGAGCTCTCCCGCGTGCAGTCCACCCGCAGCGCAAGGAGGGGCAACCTGCCCAATTCGTACCCATCGGTCGTTGGAAGTAGGTTTTCCTGGATTCCCAGATTCCAGTCTACTTTCAAGCGCCCTCCTACTTCAATGATCGAGTGGCTTCACCTGTGCCGTCCTCTTCGGGGGGCGGGCGGGCACCCAGCCTGCTCTCGACGCCTTCCTACTTCACGTTTCAACCCACTTCTTTCGGCCGATGGGCACCGTGGCATGCCTGCCTCCTCGGTCCATCCTTGGCCACTCGTTGGCCGCGCCCCGCTCGAAAAGCCTCGAAACGGCCTTCCATGGCCTTTGGGTCCTCACCGTGCGTCCTTGTGGTACGGGTCGACAGGGGAGGTCCCCGGGAGGCCTGCGCGGAGAGCCCCCCGGGCCCCCGAGGGTGTCCAGTGTCCCGCGCAGTCTCCGCGGCGCGGCGCCCCCCTCAAGGGCCTGTTCGGGGGGGGGGGGGGGGGGATGAGCTCGAGCGGGGCGGGATGCATCGCCCCTCCGTCGCCCATTCGTCGCCGACGGGGGCCCGATGGTCCACCCCCCCTCGCCCGTGGCCGTGCGGGCTTGCTACCATCAGGGCCTATCGCCGACCTCTCGGCTGGTCCACCTGATGCTTGAGCAGGAGACCGACTACAGAATCGCTGTACCCCAAAATTGAAATGTTCGTCGAGTCGAGCACAAATAAGAAAGTGCTTTATATAAATAAATATATATATATATATGTGTGTATAGCGGTATACTCGTGTATAGATATATCTATATGTGTGTATACGAACATGTTACACTTCTTTCGTAGACTCGACGAAAAAGTCAAATGTTGGGGGGTACGTCAATTCTGTCGTCGATCTCCTGCTCGCAGCGGTGCCCCCTCGCCCCTCCCGCGCCGCCTGCGCGCGCCCGCCCGGCCCCCCTCGGCGCAGGACGCCCACGCGCGGCACGCGACCCTCGAGGACCTCGGCGAGCCCGCCCGCCCCGCGCAGAACAAACGCCCGCCACGCGCCTCCTCCTCCTCCTCCTCCTCCTCCTCCTCCTCCTCCTCCTCCTCCTCCTCCTCCTCCTCCTCCTCCTCCTCCTCCTCCTCCTCCTCCTCCTCCTCCTCCTCCTCCTCCCCCTCCTCCCCCTCCTCCTCCTCCTCCTCCGAGCAGGAGGCGGGAGGGGGAGGGGAAGGGGACTTGAAGCGCTTGCAGCCTCCTCTGGGGGCCTCCCAGGAGGTCCTGCTCGCCGCGGCCGGGGTCCGCCTACGGAAGCTCTGGCCGGAGCGCGCGCTTCACTGAGAAACTTGTGGGGCGGGGCTCGGTCCGAGACGGTCCACGAGCGCTCGACGACTCGCAAGATAGCCTGCAGACGGCCCAAGAGGCCCCCAAAACGCTCCAAGTGGGCTCCCAGAGGACGCCCCAGAGAGCTCGCACAAGCTGTCCCAAAATTTCAGGAAAAAACATTCATTTTCGCAACTCCCGTGCTTGACGACTATACGGGCCCCCAAGATCGGCCCAAGACGTTTCAGGAGGTCCCCATGAAGTTCGCGGGGCAGGAGGCCCCCATGAGGCTCGCGGGGGGCCGGAGATTCGGGGAAGTGCTCGGAGCTTGGGGGGGCTGCCGCTGCTCGGTGCCACCTTTCTCCAACGGCTGGGGCCGCGCCTGTCGGCAGCGTGTCGGACGGGCTAGGACGAGGATAAGTCCGTTACAGAGCGTTGCGGAACGCTCTGAGAGCGTTGCGGAACGCTCTGGGAAGGCCGCGGTCCTCACCCGTTTGTATCCTCGTCCTGGCTTCGTCTCAGTCTGGGGGGGGGGCCTCACCTCGGGAAAGGAGGGGGGGCCAGGACGAGTACGGTTTGGCTGCGAGCACGAGGGGGCAGGGCCAGGGGAGCAACCCCCAAGGAAGCCCGTCTCGCCTTAGGAGGGGCAGGGAGGGAGCCGTGATAAGGCCGACCACCCCGCGTAAGCGACGCCAGAAAACGGGGTCGTTTTCGCCGACGTTGGCGCGCAGGCTGCCCGCGTAAGGTCGCGCGTGAGCGCGCTCGTTTAAGCGTGGCGTGTCGCGCTGGCGGCCCGCGTAAGCCACCGTGTAAGGTCGCCACGTCATCTCGCGTAAGACCCGGCTTGAATCGTCGATCACGTGTTGTTGGGCATCATATTCTTTTTTGTCCGGACCCATGTCGGGCGGCCAGAGGTCAGGACGGAAAAATTGGCATAGACAACATCAAAAACCGACTCTCACGAAAAAAGATGGGAAAAGTTGGGAAGTGGAGAGGGGAAGACGAAACACTCAAGGAAGCATAGGACAATGTGTGGAGAGTCCTAAAACTCGTGTCTGCTGTCGGCGGCGAACGAGGGGGGGAAGTGAGAAGGAGAAGGGGAAGGCCTTCTCAGAAGGCGGCGGGAGTTCTCAGAAGCCCTCGCGCCTTCCGAGAGGTTTTTTGCGCCTTCGGGAAAGGCTTCGAAAACTTTTCAGAAGGCCGGGAAACTTCCGAGCCTTCTGAGAAGGCCCGCCCCTTCTCGTTTCCCCCCTGGGCGCGCCGCCTGTATTGATTTCTCAGAAGGCTTCCCCCTCAGGCCCTCCTTTGTTGCTTGCCGCCCGAGGCTTGTGGACGAGCAGGGGGGGGGGCACTTGCTCGGAGGCCTCGGGGCACCGTGCCGGGCGCGGGCGGCTCCAGCCGCCCCACGCCTGCGCAGAGCCGGGGCACGGACAGCAAGAAGAAGGGAAGATAAATTATGAGGGGGGAGGACGAGGAGCAGGGGGGAGGAAGAGGAGGAGGAGGAGGGTGAGGAGGAGGAGGAGGAGGAGGAGGAGGAGGAGGAGGAGAGGGGGGGAGGGCGAGGGTCGGAGTAGGACTGGGACCAGCACGGATCAGGACCAGGAGCAGCTCTAGGCACCAGGTAGGAGGGGCAAGAGGCAGGAGGCAGAAGGTGCGAGGGGCGGATCTGGGACGTGGGGCAGCCAGAGGCGTCTATTGATTTTGGTGCCCCTGGGCCCCCACACGCGGAGGAGGAGGAGGAGGAGGAGGAGGAGGGGGAGGAGGAGAAGGAGGAGGAGGCGAGGGGGGGCGGGGGAGGGAGGAGGAGAAGGAGGAGGAGGAGGAGGAGAAGGAAGGAGGAGGAGGAGGAGGAGGAGGAGGAGGAGGAGGAGGAGTAGGAGGAGGAGGAGGAGGAGGAGGAGGAGGAGGAGGAGGAGGAGGAGGAGGCGAGGGGGGCGGGGGAGGGACGACGGGCCCCCGGCGGACGCCAGGAGCGCATGAGCTACATCGAGAAGGAGCTCGGCGACTCGGCGGACAAGCACGCCAGGAGTGCGGCCCCCCCCCAGGGGGATGGTCGGGCCGGACGAAAGGGGCGGATTGGGAAAGGGGGGGTTACGATATTTGCTGCATGCAGCTGGTTTCGGCCCCACCGAGGGGCCCATTCCTCGATACATAGTCGCCTCCGGCGCCGGGAGGCGCCGGGAAAATCAGCTACGTGAGCTGATTCTCAAACCCCCCCTTTGCTATCCCCCCCTTTCGCCCGACCCGAGATGGACAGACCTCCTACCCTGACACGTCGATTGAGGAATTGGCCGTTTTCGGTTCGCGAGAGGGCGTCGCGGCCGTCATTTTTGCGGGTCCAGGTCCGTTGGTTTCGGTCCCAGGCCGTTTTCATGAAGGGGAGGTTTACTAAAGGGAGGTTTGTCCACCGCCGAGTGGGGCCAAATTGGTGGCGACCGGCATGGAGGCGACGGCAGACCCCCTCGAGCTGCGAAATAAGTCACGACGTGAGGTTTTTCCCCACATCCAAAGTGGGGTTCTTGTTTTCTCTGCACACCCCCGCGCAGGAGAGAGATCTCACTCACCCCCTCTTCTCCTCGCACTCATTCACACACACATCATCATCACTCGCACTCTCTCACACGCTCACGAACATCATCGTCATCATCGGTATCGGCATCATCCTCATTCAAACATCATCATCGCCACCACCACCCACAATCAATCATCATCCTCTTCACCACTCATCTTCACCACCACTCATCATCCTCATCCTCATCATCGTTGAGTAAAGTGTGAGGAAGTCTCAGGCGGGAGCCCCCTCCCTATGGGGCCCGCAGATCATGTTGGTAATCCGAGCGGGTCATCGGAACCCTGTAACTGTCGTCACTTTTGGGCTCCCCAGGCCTGAAAATGGAGGAAGTCTCAGGCGGGAGCCTCGTCTGTGAGTGAATTGGGAGGAAGTCTCAGGCGGGAGCTCCCTCCCTATGGGGCCCGCAGATTCATGTTGGTAATCCGAGCGGGTCATCGGAACCCTGTAACTGTCGTCACTTTTGGGCTCCTCAAGCCTGAATATGGAGGAAGTCTCAGGCGGGAGCCTCGTCTGTGAGTGAATTCTGAGGAAGTCTCAGGCGGGAGCCCCCTCCCTATGGGGCCCGCAGATCATGTTGGTAATCCGAGCGGGTCATCGGAACCCTGTAACTGTCGTCACTTTTGGGCTCGTCAAGCCTGAATTTGGAGGAAGTCTCTGGCGGGAGCCTCGTCTTTGAGTGAATTGTGAAGAAGTCTCAGGCGGGAGCCCCCTCCCTATGGGGCCCGCAGATCATGTTGGTAATCCGAGCGGGTCATCGGAACCCTGTAACTGTCGTCACTTTTGGGCTCCTCAAGCCTGAATATGGAGGAAGTCTCAGGCGGGAGCCTCGTCTGTGAGTGAACTGCGAGGAAGTCTCAGGCGGGAGCCCCCTCCCTATGGGGCCCGCAGATCATGTTGGTAATCCGAGCGGGTCATCGGAACCCTGTAACTGTCGTCACTTTTGGGCTCGTCAAGCCTGAATTTGGAGGAAGTCTCTGGCGGGAGCCTCGTCTTTGAGTGAATTGTGAAGAAGTCTCAGGCGGGAGCCCCCTCCCTATGGGGCCCGCAGATCATGTTGGTAATCCGAGCGGGTCATCGGAACCCTGTAACTGTCGTCACTTTTGGGCTCCTCAAGCCTGAATATGGAGGAAGTCTCAGGCGGGAGCCTCGTCTGTGAGTGAACTGCGAGGAAGTCTCAGGCGGGAGCCCCCTCCCTATGGGGCCCGCAGATCATGTTGGTAATCCGAGCAGGTCATCCAAAACCTGTAACTGTCGTCAATGTTGGGTTCTCGCGCTGCCAGAACGCAGTTCCCAGGCCACACTTTGGATGCAACAAGGAAGTTTTTGGGCTCCTCAGGTCGCCGAGGTGCTGCGACAGGGCGCCGAAGGCGCCGACGACGACGGCCAGGCCGAGGCGCGGGCGCGGAGCTTGCTGATGTTCAGGCCCAGCGAAAGGGAGTTCACATGGCAGAGCTCGGGGGCGCACAGCGTGCGCCGCTCGGGGTTCACCCTGACGCACGCGTCCTACCTGACCTCCACGCTGTCGCAGGGCCAGACGCTGCGCAAGGGCGTCACCATCGACTGCGCGAGAGACGAGGACGCTGGCCGCACGGGCATGTCGGACGAGCAGTGGTGGCTGCACCTCTACGTCATGTTCTCCCGCGCCACGTGCATGCGGAACATGCTGATCCTGCGGCCGCCGCCGCGAGAGTTCCTGGAGTGCGGGCCGCCGGCGTCCCTGCGGAAGGCGCTCCTGGAGTTCGACAAGAGAGCGGTTTTGTCCAGGGCGGAGGCGAAGCAGCTCGCGGCAGAGCTGGGCTTCGTGCTGCCTTCCGCCTGAGCGCGGCTGCGCCTCGCTCGAAGCCCGCGGGGTTGTCCCAACGGCTTGGTCTTGCGCGCCAACGGCTCGCGGGGTTGTCCCGACAGCCTGGCCCGCGGGGTTGTCCCAACGGCTGCGCGACGTGACCAGTAGAGAACGCGCCTGTGCTGGCCGTGGCGGCGACGGCGCCGAGGAACATCGACATGCGCGCTCATGCAACAGGAAGGGGAGGAGGTGGCGGGGCGCGGAACAAACAGGGGGGCGAGGATGGGGACAACGTAAGGAGTGGAAGGGGGGCCCGCGCCAAGGCGAGAGGAAATATACGCAGAAGAGACAGCCAGGACGCCTCACCAACCACGAGGACGACGGTGATGGCTTTTTCCAGATTCGCCCAGAGGATTCTTATGTGGGGTTCTTCCGTCGGAGTAATTCGCTATTGTCGGCCTCCGGGGGGGCCTCGCCAGGCCGCGGGACTGTCAGAAAATGATTAAGGATGAAAAACTGGTCCTGGGGAAGGGGTCCAGACCTCTGGGGGTCGACGTGAAACAATCATGGCGTCGGGGGTCTGGGTCTAGGCCTCCCAGACGGGCTCGGAGCAAAGGGGTCGGAGGATCGCGCCGCATCTCCTCGACGCATCTCCGATGCGTTTCGCTGTGGGGTTCCCGCTTTCCTCCACGCCGACGGCGCCAGTGCATCCGCAAGGCGGCGCGGTCCTCCGACCCCATCTGCTCGGACCACATCTGGGAGGCCTCTGTGAATGAGGTGTGGGAAAGTCTCAAGCGAAAATTCCGCTAGACTGGGCGTCCTCAGGCTCCACGTCCCCCTTTTGTGGGACTCGTCTGCGGGAAGAAGCCCATGTATACCTTAGCGCGTCTGTGTGTGTGTGATTTATTGATTGATTGTGTTTGGTTGTGTGATTGTGTGTGTGTGTTGTGAGTTGTGGTGTGTGGTGTGTGGTGTGTGGTGTGTGATGTGTGTTGTGTGTTGTGTGTTATGTATGTTGTGTGTGCTGAGTGTTGTGTGTTGTGCGTGCTGTGTGCTGTGTGGTGTGTGTTGTGTATTGTGTGGTTTGTGGCTTGTGGTTTGTGTTGTGTTGTGTTGTGTGTTGTGTGGTGTGTGTGTTGTGCATTGTGTGTGCTGTGCGTACTGTGTGTTGTGTGGGGTGTTGGGTGTTGTGTGTTGTGTGTTGTGTATGCGTGTTTTAGAAAGGGTCGTGGCCGTCTCGTCCCCCCTGTGGTAGCCAGCATCGAGGCGAGGGCAGGCTTCTTGCATAGAGCCGCTAGGTACTCTCAGGCGAAGCGGCCGTCCCAGGACGGCATCCTGGGCCTCCTCTCGGAAGCCTCCCGTAGCCCTCGGGGGGGGGGGGGGGGGGGCTCTCTTCGGAGCCTTCTGGTGGCCTCTTGGGCCCTCTTTGGGCCGCCGTGGGGCTCTATTGGGCAGCCTTCTTGGCACCTCTCGGGCGTGTGCATTGCTCTTCGGCAAGGACCATCGAGGAGCATGTTTGTTCACCTTGCGAAAATGCACACGCACGAAACCGAAACATACACAGGGCATGGACGCCTGGGCGATGGCGAGTCTTCGGCCCTCTTGGGCCGTCTGTGGCCGCTCTTGGGGGCCTCTTGGGCCGCCTGGGGGCGATGTCGGGGACCTCTTTGGCGGTCTTGGACACTGCTACGACTAACAAAGCGCGCTGCGAAAAATACACGCTTTCCCAAAAGGGACGAATTTTGCTTTTGAGTGGTCATTTTGCCTCTCTCGTGGGGCGTCTTGGGTGCCTCTTAGGCCGTCTTGCGGTCATCTAGGTCCTTGTTGGGGGGCTCCTGGGAAGTCTTGCGGCCCTCTTGGACCGTCTTGGCGGTCTCTTGGCACCGCCGGTGGGCCAGTTGCACGGGTCGGGAGGGACCTTCAGAGGCCCAGAAGTCCCGGGTGACCCCGTCAAGGAGCGTCCAGAGGGCCCCCAGGACCAGGCATCGGGGGGGTCACGTTTAGGAAGGAGGGAGTTTTCGCAGGGTTCCGCCCAAGATACAGTCGGGGCGCTGCAGAAGGAACCCTTTCGTTGGGGAGGGGCTCGGCGTTCCTTGATCGTTTTACAGTTTGCATTCGGTTGTCCCTGAGTTTTCGACGGTTGATCGAAGCTCAACTTGTGGAAAAAAGGGACCTCGTTCCTTATCTGGGGTTTCTTAGGCCAACGCCTCGACTGCATGTGAGAGGGAGCGTCTGCCCTGGAATCGGGCCGCTGCGGGCCCAGCAGCGGTCGTTCGAGGGTCTCCCGCACGGCTGTCTCGCACGGCCGTCCCGCGGGCCCTCCCGCTGCAGGTCGGGCTCGGACTCCCGCGCAACCCCCTGCGTGCCCACTACGGCCGAGCATGCGATCAAGAGACATCGTCCTCGTCCTCCTCCTCCTCGTCCTCCTCCTCGTCCTCCTCCTCCTCCTCCTCGTCCTCCTCGTCCTCCTCCTCGTCCTCCTCCTCCTCCTCGTCCTCCTTGACCAACGTTTCTTCTGCCAACTTGCCAGAAAATTGGCCCCGGTTTCTTGAGCACGTTCGCCTTCCTCCAGCGGCGGCAACCGATGTTGGCCCGAGTGTGTATCGCCATTCTGGTTGTACGGTATAATGCTTTCTTGAATATTCAAGTATGTTGGTCAGGGTATTCTGCCGCCAGAGTGTAACTCTAGCATCCGGAAAGTAAGCTGCAGGGAAGTCTCCAGCGAAACGCGCAGCCTGGCAAACGGGCACGTCTGGTGGTGCGACAGGGACTTCATGTATGGACAGGGATGGAGGAGGAGGAGGAGGAGGAGGAGGAGGAGGAGGATAAGGAGGAGGAGGAGGAGCAGCAGGAGGAGGAGGGGTAGGAGCAGCAGCAGGAGGAGGGGGAGGAGGAGGAGGAGGAGAAGGAGGAAGGAGGAGGGAGAGAGGAGGAGGAGGAGAGTAGGAGCAGCAGGAGGAGGAGGAGCAGGAAGAGGAGGCAGGAGGAGGAGGAGGACGAGGAGGAGGAGGAGGAGGAGGAGGAGGAGGAGGAGGAGGAGGAGGGGAGGAGGAGCAGGAGGAGGAGGAGCAGGAGGAGGAGGGCGAGACTAGCTTAGCATTTTGGGGGGCCCGTCGTGGCTGAGGCCAAAGGTGCAGCTCGAAAAACCTGGCCGGGATGGTGTCCGGGAGAGGTTCAGGATGGGATTCGAGCGACCCACGCCTCCAGGCGTAGCGAACGAAAGCCAAGATCATTTGCGGTTTCACGATTTCGGATCTGGGGGGCCGTTGCCGGGACCCAGGGCCATCAAGAAGTCGCCCCGCGGCGAGAAGTTGGTCCGAGGGATAAGGTCGACAGTTCTGGGAGGGGGGCACGCCGTGGACAAGTAACTACCTCGGGAGATGATGGGCACGAGAGTGGGAGAGGGGTGAAAGGTCCGCAGGGAAGCGGGAGCCAAACCCTTTTCCCTCCGCCTCCACTCCGCCCTCCCCCATCTCCTCCTCCCCATCCTCCACCTCCTCCACCTCCTCCTCCTCCGCCTCCTCCTCCTCCTCCTGCCCGCCTCGTCCCTCCTCCTCCTCCTCCTCCTCCTCCTCCTCCTCCTCCTCCTCCTCCTCCTCCTCCTCCTCCTCCTCCTCCTCCTCCCCCTCCCCCTTCCCCTTCCCCTTCCCCATCCGCCGTCGTTCCCCACCCTCGCACTCGCACTTCCCAGCACGTCTTTGCCGAGAGAGGCAGGGGCAGCCAGAGCGCTGCCGGGTCAGGCCGCGCACGGGGCCCTTGCCCCGCTTGCAGGCTTGACGCCGCTCCCGCGCGCTCGGCGGCGGGCGGAGCTGCAGCGCTCGCACGGCGCCGCGGCCTCGGCCCCGGAGAGGCGAGGGAGGGCTGGCCACCCGAGGACCGTCGGGGCTCCCAGGGGCTCCCGTGGGAAGCCCCGCGAGGTTCTGGGGAGCTCCCGGAGGCCCTGCGAGGTCCTGTGAGGGCGGGGGGTCGACAAGGACAGGGGAAAGAGAGAAAGAGAGAGAGAGGGAGAACAAAAAAAAAAAAACAAAAAAAAACGGATGAGCAGAGGGATAGGGTGCTCTGTTCACGGCGCAAGCAGTAGGGGAGGGCGATGAGGGCGGGGGGCGAACGCGGGGAAACGGAGGCGGGGATGGTCGGGGCGGGGAGGGGGAGGGGGGTGTGGGAAGAGGAAGGGGGGGGTCGGAGAGGAGGAGGAAGCAATCTCTCCCCCCTTCTCCATCCCGGGCGGAGGGGCAGCAGCGCCTGCTGCTCCCGGGGAGGCCGAGGGGCACCTCGCGGGGGGCCTCCTCGGTCGTCTCCCGGAGGCCTCCCGGATGCATCTTGGAGTTTTGGTGGGAGGGGGAGGGGAGGAGCTTTGGCTTCTGGTACTTGGTCTTCTGATTGATTCGTTTATGGCTGAGCATTTGGCTTCGGAGTGGTCCACCGATGTACTGTTCACGACTGTCTTGGAGGCAGGGTGTGCGCTCGACGTACAGTCACAGCGCCCAGCAAGGACGCACACCTTCATCCAGGGTGCCCTGGTGTCCCTGCCTCTGCGGCCCGCCCTTTGCCGTTATCATTGATCGCCCGCCGCCCCTCCCCCCCCAAAAAAACCCAACTTCGGCCTCCCAGGGGCCCCACGTCCTCACAGTCGGCCCGGATTAGTAGGCCGACCCTGCCAGCTCAAAGTTACCCTTGCGTCCTGTGCCCCGCGACACGTCCCTTCTTACACTCCTGTGGCGATGTGGCCCTCGGAAGGGTCTTGTGTCCTTTCGCGTGTCCTGTCCAATCAAGGCCGACAGTACACGCCGGTCGTTGAAAGTAGGTATTCTTGGACTCCCAGATCCCAATCTGCTTCTAGCGCTCGCCTACTTCAAGAATCGGCATGGTCTTGATGTGTGCGTCTTTGTTCGCTGGGGGGGCCTGGAGCCAATCTACTTGATCATCCGCCTTCCTACTTCATGTTTTTACCTACTTCTTCCGACCGACGTGTACCACCCGTCCTGAGTACAGCGCCGTTTTCTATACATGCTCCGCGTGCGGATCATGTATTAAGATGCAGGGATCTAGTATTAAAAACAAGGATGAGTTCATGCATAAACTTATTCATTACTTCATCATTGTTGAATCATAGATTTCTAAAAACCCTATTACTGAAAACTGCCCTGTACTTCTTCCGACCGACGTGTACCACCCGTCCTGAGTACAGCGCTTGTTTTTATACATGCTCCGCGTGCGGACCATGTATTAAAGATAAAGGGTTGATCAATGAATACAAGGATGAGTTTATGCATTGATTCATTTGTGAATTAGTCATGTATTAAGATTCCTATATGTCAACAATCCTATGTATTACAACCTGCCCTGTACACGCTTCGACTCTGGGGGTGCAGGCGCTGCCGCCGAAGCCTCTCGGCCTCGGGGCCGGGAGCGGGCACCTCGTGGCCCAGCGGGGGGGAGAGGAGCTCGAGGGGGGGGGGGAGCAGCAGCAGCGGGAGGAGAGAGAGAAGGCCCTCGTCCTCCCTTCGTCCATCCCCCCCTCCTCGTCCTCGCCCCATCGTCCTCCCTCTCCGCCCCCTCTTGTGCCGAACAAGCGGCACGAGGCTGCACCGGCACTCTCATTGCCCGCCATGTTGGGACGCAGAGCTTGCTGCGCTAACTCCTCGTGCGTTCCCCATCCTTCTCCTCCTGCTCCTCCTCCTCCTCCTCCTCCGCCTCATCCTTCTCCTCCTGCTCCTCCTCCTCCTCCTCCTCCGCCTCATCCTCGTCCTCGTCGTCCTCGTCGTCCTCCTCCTCCTCCTCCTCCTCCTCCTCCTCCTCCTCCTCCTCCTCCTCCTCCTCCTCCTCCTCCTCCTTACGCTACTCACCAATATGCGTGTTCCGAACTTACGACGGTTGAAGGCCATTCTCCGAGACCGCAGCAAAGAAGCATCTAAGTCCAGGCTCGCGCTACGTCCTGACGGAATAAAGTTCTCATCAACCTCAGCAGATGGCAGGGACGGACCATCATGCACACCGAGACGGCGACAGCATTGGAAATTTTAGCGTGGACCATACCACCAGTTATCTTGGCCGCAAGTTCACATTCCACGATTTGGTTACAAGCTCATTTGGGCCCCCTGCGTTTTTAAGGCAAAACTGCATGGAGCGCGGCAACGTCAACGGCAACGTCGGCAACGTCGGCGGCAACCGCTAAGCGAAGACGATGAGTGAGACAGCGGTATTTGTTTTCTGCATCGGCTCGGGGTGGTGCGGCATGGCGTTCGCGCGGGGGGCCCTTCTTCCCCGACATAGCTCAAGCTCCGCTGGAAAAGTACCCAGTGCTTTGAACGTATAAATCGCTACTGTATGGCAAGCGCAACGCTCTAGACATATCACCACGCCTGGAACGCAGCTGCCAGCGCCGCGAAACTCACCTTCTGCCCACTGGCCTTGATGTGGGTGCGGAACTTGTGCTCGGCAAGGAGCCTCGACCACTTCTTCCTGTCGGCCTTCTTGGGCAACGTCCCGCCGTAGCGCTTCCTGATCCACCGCTTGACCAATGGCCATTGGAGCTCTACGTGGTTGGTAGTGAACCCTCTTTCGTTCGTGATCTCGCCAGCGCTGTGGTTCACTACCTCGTGCGGGAGCATCCGCTCGGTGAGGCCAGCGTCATTGCGGTACTGCTTCACAGCCGCGATGGTCCCCCTCCACTTGTCCGAGACGATGACGACGCCAGCGGGAGGCGACAGCTCCTTGAAGTTCTCCAACAGCTCCTGCTTGCCCCTGGGCTTGCCGTCGTAAGCACCCTCGACAGACTTCAATACTTTGAAGAAGAACAGGTGCGGCGAACCCTGCACGACGGCGCCCCAAAGCCATAGCTTGTCTTTCTTCGGCCTTGCGTTCTTCGCCAGCTTGGACAGCTTGCCCTTGTTCAGGAAGGACTCGTCCACCTGCAGGATGACCTTCCTGGTTCGGGCAGCAGGGAGCCTGGACCGCGCGGGGCGCTTCATGACAGGCCGCTTCTTGACGCCCGCCTGGGCTGGACGACTCTTCGCCGAGCGCTTGGCCCGACGCTTCGGCGCAGCTTTCGCAGCAGCGGGGCGCTTGCGCGGGCCGCCGCCGAGCAGGTCTGCGAAAATGCTCGCAGAGTCCATCTTCCTGGCCATGTGCTCCTCGACGCCCTCTTCAAACGTCTGAATCCAGCGCTCCACAGTTGCGTGGGCGTCAACGCCAACCTCGCCCTTGAGCGTGCCAAGGCTGTAGTCGAAGCACCACATCACGAAGGCGTCGAGCTTGTTCATCCATAGGCTCGTGGGCGTACCCGCCAAAATGGTGCCCTTCACCGCCGACACCTCGTCGCCGTTGCACGTGCGTCGTCGCGCTCCTTCTCCGCTCTCCCGCGGGCGCGCCTCTCCTCCTTCAGCTGCTTCTGGGTCTCCTTCAGCTCCTCCTAGGGGTGGTTGGTTTCTCTTTCTGTCGCTTTGCGAAGTGCCCCCCCCCCTCTGAAAGTCCTTCGTCTTCTGCAGCTGCTCCCAGAAGTCTTGCCTGTGGTCGCGCACCAAGTCCACCTGGGGCGGCGCAAGCTGCACGCATGAAGCACAACGCGCACCTGGCACACCGCGCGCACATGGCGCACGCACACTGCGCACAAGGCACGCACGTTGCGCACCGTGCGCACCGTCAGGTCTGTCTATCCGCCCACCCTGTGTTCCAGCCGCGCGATCTTCCTCGTGTAAGGCTCGACCACCGCCTCGAGGGCGGCGGCCTTCTTCTCCGCGCGTTTGCGGGCGTTGTAGGCGGCGTTGCGCGCCTTCTTCTTCGCGTGGGCGGCCGTTCCTGGCTTGGGGTCCCCCATGCCAGGGGGGTGGCGGGGCGGGGCGAAGGGCGCGGTGTCGGCGCGAGCGCGCCGCGAGCTGCTTGAGCCTCGGTCGAGGTGCGGCGTGCCTGCTCGCGCTTCCTCCCTCCCTCCCCCCCTCCTCCTCCTCCTCTTCCTCCTCGTTTTTCTTCCCCCTCCTCCCCCTCCTCCTCTCCCTCCTCCTCCTGCTCCTGCTCCTCCTCCTCTTCCTCCTTCTCCTCCTCCTCCTCCTGTTCCTCCTCCTCCTGCTCCTCCTCGTCCTCCTCCTCTCTTCTTCCTCCTCCTCCTCCCCCGCCTTCTCCTCCTCCTCCTCCTCCTCCTCCTCCCCCTCCTCCTTTTCCTTTGCTCCCCCTCTTCCAAATCGGATTCCACAGCATCTGCAGAACCCTTGGGAAAAAAAAGCAAAAAAAAATCTTGGGGGGGCCTGCCCCCCCCCCACCCCACCCCACCACCCCACCAACCACCACCCCACCCCACCCCACCCCCCAGCCCCCGAATCTCTGCTCAGGATTGTTTTTGTTTTTGTTTTTTTTGTTTTTGTTGGTTTTCCCCAGGGTTCCGCTGGATTCCGCCCCCGCTAATGGAATCCGATTGGGAAGAGGAGGAGGAGGAGGAAGAGGAGGAGGAGGAGGAGGAAGAGGAGGAGCAGGAGGAGGAGGAGGAGGAGGAGGAGGAGGAAGAAGAGAGGAGAGAGAAAGACGCATACGAGAAAGGGGGTGGAACACGGTATGTTGATTTTTCCTAAAAACGCAGGGGGCCAAAATGAGCCTGTAGCCCACGATTTTCACCAGACAGAGATTCCCAACAGGCTCGCACCGGGATGGCGCCGATTCAACCAGCTTCGCAACGAACTCACAAGCAAGATGCATCCACTCCACCGCAGACTCTAGTTGTTCAGCAGAGCACAGACGACAGCAGTTATGTACAGGTGCATTTCGCACCAAGAACAGGCTCCAAACATTCCAACGCACCCCACGACAGATGGGCATCGTTTTCTTGTTCATTGTTTTGCCGATCGGCGCGGGCCCTCGCACACCCCCTTCCCCCCCACCCATGGAGTGGATCTTGGCTGTCTGTTTTGGGCGCCTGTTTCGGGCAGGTGGAGTCTCTCCCCCACAGAACGCAATGCTGCAAACAGCCGCATGAAGCAGAGGTCCGGAGCCAGACCCCCCCCCTTCCTCCTCTTTCCGCCAAATGTCGAAACGCAGAGTAAGAAAACGCTCACATGCTACGACTTATCGCAAGCATCCCGAGGCATCGAACGAGACGCAACGGCACCACAACCCGAAACGTCAACTGCGCCGACAACGAGACTCTCTCCGACGATGGAAGGCAAAACCGATACCAGCTCGGACGACAGCGAGCAGTAGCTGGATACCGACGATGGCGACGACGACGCCGACCTGGAACCGTGGGATGATTCCATACACAGAGCGACCCACTTAGCAACAGACACCTGCGTCACGGGCCAACATGAATGAGTGGACGACGATGTGATTCAGACGCAGGTGGCGATGGGCCGCCAGAATAGCCGCACCGCCGCTTGACAGGTGGACACGGCTCGCCGCGTCAAGTGAGCCGGACATCCACGACCACTGGCGAGCGCTGCGTAGGCACGGAGGCCAGCGGAAGAGGTGGGAAGATGACATCGTGCAGCTTTTCGAAAGAGCAGCGTCGCTCGAACGGTACAACCAACGCTGGCTCACATTAGCACAAGACACCACGAAATGGAGCATACTAGAAACAACACTTCTGCAGCACACGCAGCTCACAGCACCACCTGGTCGAGAACATCCACCTCTACACATGAGGGCCCTGGCCCGCTCGCGCACCAAGCCCCGGCGCCCCGGCGAACAGTGGCTCGCTCTGTGTTGTTTCGGTATGTTCCTCCATTTCTTCCACCTCCTCCCACACCTCCTCCTCCTCCTCCTCCTCCTCCTCCTCCTCCTCCTCCTCCTCCTCCTCCTCCTCCTCGTGTTCTTCCTCCTCCTCCTCGTTTTCCTCCTCCTCCTTTTTCTCCTCCTTCTCCTCCTCCCCCTCTTCCTCCCCATCCTCCTCCACCTTCGGCTCCTCCTTCTCCTCCTTCCCCTCCTCTTCCTCGTCCTCCTCCTCCCCTCCTCCTACACTTCCTCCTTCTCGTCCTCCTCTTCCTCGTCCTACTCCTCTCCTCCTCCTCCTCCTCCTCTCCTCCTCCTCCTCCTCGTCATTATCATCATCACCACTACCACCATCATCATCGTCACCAACACAAATCACCATCACCATCCTTCTTCCCCCCCCTCCTTGTCCTTCTCCTCCTCCTCCCCTCACTCCTCCTCCTCCCTCCTCCTCCTCCTCCTCCTCCTCCTCCCTCCTCCTCCTCCTCCTCTTCCTCCTCCTCCTCCTCCTCCTCCTCCTCCTCCTCCTCCTCCTCTTGCTCCTTTTCCCCCTCCTAAATAGCCCTTTAGGCCCGAGCATTGGTCTCGGGCGTTGCACCGCGCACGTCGAGAGGGCGCAACGGCACAGAGCCATGGCGTCGCAGGCATGGTGATTGCATGAATCAGATGTTTGTGCCATCTTCGCTCATCTGTGCGGCGCTGGGCGGGCGGCCGGCTTCGTGGTGTCGATGACTCTTTCGGCGGCTCGGTCATCCTCTTTGACGATGGCCGCCGAGGGGAATTCAGGCTTCCCCGCATTAGTGGAGAAGGGGCGAATGCGGGAGCTAACGGAAGACCTGTCCAAGGAGGCGATTGGCATCTTGGCAAGCCTGCACACGTCGGAGTACCACTGCGAGTATTGCCAGAACCTGAAGGAGAATCGCCCGCGGCTTCGTACACCTCCACAACGTTCCCGTGGAGTGGATGGGATCTGGCGCAATCGCAAGAGCACGCTGCAGGAGGTTCAGTTGGAGGACATCTGGGGCAAGGGGCAATCATCGGTGGACCTCGTGACGGCGGCGGACCCCAACTAGTCGCAGGAGGCTCAGCAGGAGGACACCGTGGGCATAGGCTAATCCTCGGAGGGCCTCCATGCGCAGTCGGAGACGCACAATCAGCACCGCACGATGAAGCAGTTCAACAATGAGGAGTCCCAGCAGGAGGACAGCGTGGGACAGAGCCTGTCCTGGGGGGGCTTCGAACGCTGACGGAGACGGACAGACAGTGAAACAGGATGAAGTTCGAGCGGGGGAAGCAAGAGAGGAGCCTCACTTCGGATCTCGCACCAGATCAGTTCACCAAGCCCGTAGAGGCTCACCAGGAGTTGGCGTAGCAGATCTTCGATTGAGATTTGGTGAACACCTGGCCTGCCCTGAGAGTCAAGCTGGCGGGAAGGCAACTGCTGATGCCCACAGCGGACCCCGTGCAGCAGCAGAAGTCCCAGGACCCGGGCAAGATGGAGATGGACCCGCCGACCCAGTTCAAGCAGTTGGAGAAGGACATCGAGATGCACGCGGAGGCTCAAAAGGAGGTGAACAAGCAGCGCCTTTTCTGGCGGGTTTCGAAGCAGGTGCTGGAGATCCTCGCGGGGGGGGGGGCGGGGCGGACGCCCACGAGAAGGTGGTCAAGCCGCGCATCCCATGGAGAAGTTCGAAGCACTGGTTCGCCAATGTCACGCACTATGTGGCGAAGTAGGTGGCGGTGCGAGAGTTGCAAGTTCATGAGCTTTGGCTTCCGAAGCACATGCAGCAAGTGCGGAAGGTGTGCGCGCCCCGGAGGACGTTCCAGGAGCAGCAGCACCAGAAGGCGGAGTTTCAAGTAAGCCTCCAATCGGCCCCAGTGGAGGAGATCACCTCGCCGGCCGAGGCCCCCTGGAGTGTCACGCGTCGGTGGTGGAGTCGGACGAAAGCAAGTTCATGACCTGGTGGGCAGATGGCAAGTCGTCAGCCGGTGGTAGCGAATTCGGGGACTTCCAGGAGGTCGAAGTGGTGCACGCGGAGAAAGACAGGTTGGTCTACAAGAAGGATAAAGGGCAAGAACAAAGGCAAGGGCAAGGGCAAGCGCAAAAAGCAAGCCCAGAATCCAGAGCGGCACGAAAGGGGGACGGCCGCAGCAGACGCCCAGATGAGCTCTCTGGCCGTGGCGCTGCGGCGCGCTCCTCCTCGTGTTCCTCCTCCTCCTCCTCCTGCTCCTCTCCTCCTCCTCCTCCTCCTCCTCCTCCGCCTCCTCCTCCTCCCCCTCCTCCTCCTCCTCCTCCTCCTCCTCCTCCTCCTCCTCCTCCTCCTCCTCCTCCTCCTCCTCCTCCTCCTCCTCCTCCTCCTCCTCTCCCCTTCTCCGGGCACCTTCGGAGCGCTGATGAAGGCGATCGAGGTGGTGGAAAGTGACGGACCGCGTCTGGGGCTGCCGTGCTCGCGTCGGCGCGGCGGCTTCGCGGGGCGTCGGGGCTCCTCCCGCCACGGCCGGTGCCCCTTCGAGATTCGGTGCGCGTCGCGTGACTCCGCTGGCCCATCCAGAAGCGATGCCCACGCGAGTGGCCCTGATCAGGGATGTGGAGAAGCATACAGTGGAGTAAAGGCCCAGAGAAGCCGTCATTCCCCAGGGGGGGGAGGATTGAGGAGTAATCGGAGGAGGGATGAAAGGAGGGGGAGGGGGAGGATGGAGGCGGAGGAGGGAGGAGAAGAAGGAATAGGTGGATGAGGAAAAGGGGGGAGGAGAAGGAGTAGAAGGAGGAGGACGAGGAGGAAAAGGAAGAGGAAGAGGAGGAGGAGGAGGAAGGGAGGAGGAGGGCGAGCAGAAAGGCCAGAGGCCTCTTGGATACCTTGCTTCGGATGTCTCTCGAGAGTTTCTTGGAGTCCTCTAGGGGCGTCGAGTGGAGCCTCTTGGCGGTCCCTGGAGCCTTTTGGAGCGTCTTGGGTGCCTCGAGGGGGCCTCTTGCCAGGCGGCCTCTTCGGGCATCCTGTGCGCCTCTTGGGGCAGTCGTGGAGGTCATGTTGGGGCCATCTTGGATGAGCTCGATCAAACGAGGGGGGGTGTCCAATCAGGCCCCCCCCCCCAGGAAACCCAGACGGGCCCAAAACCCAAAACCAAAGGATAATCAATGACGTGCGCGTTCTCGCCGGGGCCATCTTGGACGCCCCAACGCCTCGCGAACCCCCCCGTCTAGGCCCAGGGGGAGTGGGCGGGGGGAGGGGTCGAGACACCCTCCCCGCCCGCCACCTGTCTCGCTCGCTCCCTCCCGCCCTCCCAACGCACAAGTAGCACCCGGGCCTCGGCATGTTCGGCGGTAGTCTATGGATGGGCAGCGACTGTGAACCAACACAGACCCCACGCACGTGATGGGGCGAGGTGCGCCACGCGTGCCAGGCGCTCCAGGTGCGCCAGGCAACCTGGGGCCCACGCGAGCCAGGCGCGCCTCGCACGCCAGATGCGCCACGTGCTCCATGGGCGCCATGGGCGCAGCATGTGCCAGGGGCGCCCGCGCACGTGGCAGCACACGTCGGGAAACATGTGGGAAACCAGTGCACAATCGCGGCGGGGAGGCCATCCTGGCGTCTGGTGGGCCTGCACACAGCAGGCAATATGCCAGCAGCCCCGCGGTCTCTGTCAAACACCAGTGGACAGTGATCGAGGAGTGGCCGCGCACGATCCGCATTTCGCCGCCAAGTGCATGCTGTATTCTTTATGTGACAGGGATGGTGGCCTTGCGCAAAACAG